AAATGAAAATATAGTAATACTCACAATGTTGGTCACAGTCGACACGGGCAAACACCACCTGCTTGGTATTAGGGAACTCCTCCCTCACTATGTTAGATGCCTCCTCGAAAATTGGATGGAGCATCTGACTGAACCTGCACCTGTAAGGGGTGAGGTCAAAGGATTTTGATAATTTGTAAGTAAATTAAATAGATTTGCAGTATTTGACTATATCGTAAAATGATTTTTGCCTTGTAACAGTTCCATTATCCCTCCATTAATTAGACCAGCATAGAAATATGAGATTAAAACAGATGCACTATGTAAAAATCTTTAAAAAATAAACCAACCTAATCTCTACTGCGGATGACAGCAATCTAATTATACTTATTGCGGTGGCATTCACAAGAAAACATCTGCATCATGAGCGAAATTAAATTTAAACATCCTTCACATAATATATACAGAGATCCAGTGACTGTGGGAGAAAAACAACACACTTACCAGTCTGCATAAAAATTCACTAATGCCACCCCAGCATTATCTGCAAGGAAACACACACACAAACAAGAAATTAATGGAAGCCTCTATACATTACTAAAAATACTTGTGAATATGCGTTTTGCTAGCTAAAATTAATTAATTAGGGTAATCAATCTTTTAAACCCCTCAGTTTTCTGTTACTGAAGGAAAAATACAAAACAAGAAAGCAATTACAGACCGACACAAATTTATGACCAGTGACTCATGGCTATTTACATTTATTGATAATACCACCTCGTGTTGAAATGTCATTAAATGTTTATTTGGTGAAAAGGTAAGCCAAGGGCCAATGGTCTGCAATAATGTGGAAACAATTTCAAGAAAACAGTGTGGAACAAATTAATAACTTTCTTTTCAGGTTTTGTAAAGATTTTAGTGACCAAATCTGTTGAACATTGGATGAGTTTGTGGTGAGCAATGTGAGAAGGCAGCAGCGGGTGTGGCCAATATGAAGATATTCTTTGGAAGGAATCCAGAAAAACAAAACTTTGCCTTTCCAACTCACAGCTCAGGAGTCATAAAATATATAAGGTTTAATCGTGCTATTCACATTAACAACTAATTGCGTAATGGCCACGTTCTTCCTTGGCCACAACATTTTCCTGAAGTCTATTGAGTCATTTTTGTGATATCCGGCTAACAAAGACATGAAAACAGTCTGACAAAGTGGACTGAAAACACAAGGTCCTTAGAAAGATGGAAAAATGAATATCTCTTAAAGACGCTGAGAGAAAATAGAGAACAACAAAGATCTGAATAGTAGAGTTAATAAGTATTAAAGTGATAATTTGACATTCCAGGAAATATGATTATTTGCTTCCTTGTCAATAATCAGGCAAGAAAGAAATGAAATAAAGTAAAGTCTTTATGCCAAGCTAAACCAACCAGCCGTTGGCTGTATATCTTCATATTGAATAAACACACAAGAGAGCTTCTCATCTAACTCTTAGCAAGAAAGCAAATCTATTTCCCAAAATGTCGAACTTTTCTTTTGAGAAACCTTTGAAGACTAAAGTGTGACGCCTTACTTAGCACGTCATCAATGTTGCCTGAGTCCAGACTGGTGATTTCTGCTTGTCCTGGAGTAGAGAGGCCCATCACCTACAGACACACAGAGGAAGAAATACATCAGCAAATAAAACACAAACACATACACAAGACAACTATGTGGGGGATCGGGAAAAAAGATTCTTAAGATGGTTGACTAAGATTAAAAAATGCCTTTATTGATCCACAAAGGGGAAATTCAAGACTAAAAAGAGCCACTGAGCCTGTCAGCACACTGTTGACTGAACACAAGCTGTCACAGTGGAAAGTACAGCCCATACTTAACCTGACTCAGCACACGTAACACACTATGGTGCTGCTTCATGCAACAATGCAGAATATAGTGAAAGCTATATTTTTTAAACCTTTTATATTTCTAACTGCATAAATAATAATAATCACGTTTGCAATGAAGAGTGGGTGAGCAGAGCAGCCAAGGCGTCCTTTTAATCAGTAACCTCTGCAATCCCTCCTGTGGGACGCCCAGTGTGACACCTGAGAGGTGTAATCTGCTCCAGGCTCGTCTCCCGGTCAGTTGTTTCTACTACTAAATATACAGTACACAATGTTACCTTTGGCCCGTCTATGCATGCAAAGCAACATGCAAATTATGCTCTCATGATTTTCTGCAGAATCCAGTTTTTTCTTGTAACCTGGTGTCTTGTGTGCAAGTAAATGTGGACATGGACACAACGGCGCGCTTTCCAAAAATAGCACATGAGCAAATAAACTCCTGGTAAACGTTTATGGTAATGATCTGGATGTTAAAATAGAAAGAATGTGTGTATCGTACATCTTAATCAGATAAAATGTTTCCTGTTTTTTTTTTTAGAATATGCTTAGCTCTCTCTTTTAATAAAGTTTCCAAACACACAGTATTTTTAACTTTGCAAGGTGTCGAAACAACTTGAAACAGTGAAGCAGCATCCACTTCTCCCTGTGCGCTGAGTCTACGTATTCACAAAAAGGTGACATTTATAAATGAATCAACACTGATTATGAGCTCCACCTCGATCATTCAACTCTACAAACCAGAGAGAGAGTGAGATTAAGGTGTCATTTTCTGTAATACAGTTACGATATGGTAATAAACCAAAATAATATTGCGGTTATTTTGACAGCTTTTATGATTACGATAAGATTCACAATTAGTGGGAATTGTTGCACCAAATTTTTTCCTTTTCACTGAAAAAAATCCATTAATCAAATGATGTGACATTTTTGTTGGTCTGTACCAAGCAAGTATGTTTTCTTACAGCTGGAGAACAGGATTTATCAGCCAGTGCTTCATTATAATACTGTTCTGTCACACATTTACAAAAAGCTGCAGCTTCTGCAATTTGGAAATTGCACTTGGCCATACGGCCGTTCTGATAATATTTAAATTAATCTTGCAGCTCTATTCTGTGCTTGTGTATATTGTTTTAGTTCCTTTTTTCATCGAACATACCAAAGATTATGGGATTACAAATAAATTGCAAGTTGCACCAAGAGATACAACAACTCCACATCATGTAATCAAAAATCACTGAATGCACATTTAATCATTGTGTGAGCCTAAATCCACAAAATGACCTCTATGGTAAGAGTAAACAAGTAGACTACTGCTGCTCTCATCATAGTAAAAAAAAAAATCTACATCATCAAATATATCTAATATAACATGGAAAGTAGTATTTTATGTGAGGAAACTAAAGTCTTTTTTCTTCCGTGCATCTTCCTGGTACCACACAAAAAAGAATAAGGTTGTAATTAAAACGGATAAAGTTGGGATTTCTGAATTCCAGCTCTGATGATGTTCGCTGTATAACCGAATCCTGTATGAAAGAGAAGATTTAAGGGCTGAAACGACGTCCACTGGGGGAAACGGGGGAAAGAACACAAATGTCGGAGAGACGCTGACTGTCAACTGAGAAACACAGTAGCAGATAAAATGTAGCCTGAATCAACTCTTTCCTTAAAGGGCTTGTTTTTAAAAAATGCAGACTAAAGAACATTATAAAACTTTAACAAAATGACTTCAGTACGGTTTCAACTGGCAGCCACCACCTCTCTAACGTTACATCGCTGCACTATCTGTTGTGATCTGTGTTGACTCAAGCTCCTCCTCAAACAGGATATGTGACATTCACCCTCCTGTTAGTAACACAAATATCACTACAGACTCTAGGAAAGAACGCAACAGCAACTCACTATTATTTCTATTATTAAGTCTTTGCAATGTCTCAGAGACAAAGAGGATGTCTTGAAGCTTCTTCTTTTATCTAAATAATACTCCAAAACCAAACGCATTTCTACGTACAAAGACATGTAACAAAGACAGGCAGCAGATCCTCAAATTTAAGAAGCTGGGTCCAGTGAATGATGAGTATCTATGCATGAAAAAATCACTTAAACAATCACATTTATTATAAAAACACTCAATAGACTTTTCAGCTCTGTAAAAAATACTTCCTGACTCTCTTTCAAACTTCAAGTCACTTTACCACACACAATGAGCTGCAGACTGATATGAAATGCCACCGTCGCTGTGGTTAGACCAGTGAACAAAGTGCCCTGCAGCTCTCAGAGGACATTTAAGTTTTAAGTTTTCATTTCAGGCCCAAACAAGAAGCAGAACTGTCTTCTTCCGGGTTTCTCAGCCAATGAGAATGAGCCACAACAGAGGAATTCACCAACCGGCGAGCATCCTTCAGAAACACGAAGAGTCCGACAATTAACGCCTGAATCCGCACAATAACGCACATAAAGCGGAATCAAACACAGCACACCGACACACGACGCTTAAACTAACCGTGTCAGCGTTCAACAACCCTCCCACTGCTGTCAGTGTGTGTTAGCACCTACTGCTAGCTGGGTGCTTCACCTCAACAAAGTTACCACGAGTCCAACTTCAGCTCGTTTTTGTAGTGTTTAAATAAACAGCACGTTATGTGAGCAACACCCGGGTTATATACAATATAAAAACGGCGAGTGTTTAGTTACAGCACCGCAGCTAGCGTTACTCAACACTACCGGCCAGGCTGACATTGCAGCTGGATAACTTGATTAGTTATGAGTCGTTTGGGTGAAACTCGGTCAAAAGGCCTTCCCCAAATGAACCTGCTCAATAACTGCACACCCAGTAGCGAGTGAGCCGGCTCGCTGGTCCACCACAGCCACTTTAAAAGCCACGTCTCCTGCCAGCAGCTAGCCAGCAGCTAGCTCCCGGCGGCAGGCTAACTAACGTTACTTAGCTACCGTTAGCTCGCGCGTGCAGCTGACCGTTGGCGCGGATTCAAACGGGCGGAAACACAAACGCTTACCAGCAGAACAACTGTGACGAAGCGGATATCGAGGGAGGGAGATATTGCTAAGAGTTTCATTGTACAGTATAGTTATTGGAGGTGGTGGTGTTGAGTCTTCCCAGTCTGTCTCGACGCCGCTCTTCGTGCTGCAGCAGGAAACCGACGGCGAACCAATCTCACGGTGGCCACGGAAACGGGTGACACTTCCTGGTGCTCGCGTGGCTTTCTGGGTAATGTAGTTTTTGGAGTGGGCAAACGGCTGAGCTGTGTGACGCGGGGGAACTCTAATGATGGCGTCCCGTTGCTTTACAACGGTAACGGGAGTTGTAGTGTTTGGTCGCCGAGACGGTGGCGATTCAACGGGACTGCTTGGAAGAAAACTTTCCTGAGATTTTCATCTGAAAGAAAAGGAACTCCAACGGTAAATATAACACACCTAGGAAGGAGGAGTACAAAGAGCACTTTATTAAAATGTAATATCAGTAACGCTACACTCGGTTTATCCACTGTCACACGTTGTTCTCTGTACTTTCTTCAGTGCGTTTATGAATAACTGATTTCTCCTGAACAGGGGGGAGTTGCATCATTATGGCTCACTTTTTGTAATACCCTATTCGGCCCATTTTCACCATCTACCAATGCGTTTTGTTAGTAAAATAACACACTTTGTAGCACAAAACTCGTTGACTTTGAAAAACTTTTGGTGCTCTGGTGCACAACTCTGCAAAGTCTCTGCAAAACGTTCTCCCAAACATCCAACAAAATGATGTGTTTAGCTGCCGCTCAATCAAACACAAGGCCCGCAACTCCAAACCAGACTACTGCTTCAACAAGATAGTTGCACTTCGTCAGATTAGATGAGAACACTGTTTAACACAAATAATATGTCCCTCTGAGGCATCCTCCCCTCTCTGCCTGTAATCAGTACAGTGGCAGTGTTATGCTGGCAGTACTTTGTGTGAACAGGTGGGCTGGTCTCAGTATGTGAGAGATCCTCTTTCTCTGGCCCTGCAGGAGCCAGGATCAGGGCAGGTAGGGGACCTGGACGTGCATCCACACCCATGAAGGATGCACTGAACTGAGAAACATCTGCTGAAGTGTCCCCCCTCAACGCAGATATGGTAAGAATCCAACACACAGGGAGCAGCTTTCCCGATTTAATTTAGGTTTATAAAACCCAGCAGAGTTTTATTTTCTGTAGTTATCTGTAGGTTACTTAGGTATCTCCTCTGTACTACCGGTTTGAATGCTCCCCCCAGAGTCAAGACCATTGAGACTATGTGTAACAAACCTAATTGTGTGCTGTAACAGCCTAATTGTTAAGGAGATTAAGGTGGTATGTTGAATTGAATCCCAGCATTAATATTTTATGGGCTAAAGCTGTCCATAGGGGGTTCACAGTGTGTGAGCAACTCACAGATGGAGTCAGAGGAAGATTTCTCTCTCCTCCTGTCTGAATATCAGTGGTGGAGAGAAAGAGGAGCAGAAGGTCCTTCTTAAGTTGTTAATGCAAGAAAATAAGTCAAATAAACATCACGGTATCCAGAAAAACTTCATCCTGTATTGATATATATATCACTGTATCTGCTGAGGTATGGAAGAATCACTTGTTGGGGTTGTATACTGTGTTTATTATTATTATACTGAATTTTATCTTCAATTGTATTTCTAATTTAGACAACAAACTTGTACACACAACTCAAAAAACAAATAAAAAAAACCCAGTGCAATTATAACGATGATGACATGTAAATATATTTTGTATAATAATATATATACAGTACATGTTAATACATGTCACTAAAACAATTATAGTTCATACTATATAAGGATATATTCACACTGCAAAAGTGGCCCAAATCTGATTTTTTTGGCTCATATGTGAATCAGACTGGAGGTTTTACACATGTAATCCGATCTTTTCAATTCTTTGTGTGGTCCAAATCAGATACTGGTATCATGTGTCATGTGACTTTTACGTCACTCTAGATCTACATTTGTCATGTGGGTCGGATCAGGACCATGACCTGTTTAAAATCTGATATGGGCCACATTTTAAAAAATCATGTGAACAGCCAAAAACAAGAAGAATCAGATCTGAGCAATAAATCAAAAGGCTTGCAGTGTGAATATAGTTCAAATTGGGTCATTTAGATAGAAACAGAGACAGGAAACTGAAACACTTCTTGCATGAAGGCGTGTAACATCAAATGAATTAAGTCCTGTAATTACGATGTATCATACTAAGTTATTGTTAAAAAAAAAATGTTTGGTGAAAACTCTGACGTATGAGTGAAGCTGGGCTGCAAATTTATATTTTTATTAATGATAAATGCAGCCTATCAGGGTGTTTTTGATCAAGTGATTGTTTATTCTTTAAAAAATCTATAAAAATAACAATAAATGCCTTTTTACAACTTACCAGTGCCAAATAGAAGGTCTTTAAATTGACTGAATCGTCTTAACAGTCAAAATCCACATAGGTGTTTAATTTACAGTGATACATTGGAGAAGCCTTAACAAACATTTATTGACACACTGATTAAAAACAACACATTTTTTCTTTGTAGACAAATTGAGGCATACTCATGTCTTCTTTTAGTGCTCCTGTCAAATCCTGTTGTTACATGTCAGAAGGAAATTAGAAACTTTGGCTTTGTTAGGCCTTTGTTTGGTCTTGTACAAAGCTGACGATAAAGCTAAGTATGAGCTCCCATGTAGGTCCATAACCATACATACATGGAAGATGTAATGCACAGTGTCCTATCATACTACATGCAGCACACCAACATACCGCTCTCCCTGCACTCTGTTTTCATCTGTCCATCCCATTTTGCCTTCTCCTCCCTTTTCTGTTTTCTCCATCTTCTTCCATTTCGCATTGCTCCCATTGATTTTTTTGTTTGTTTTTCCAGCTGATTATGGCCGGTGGGCACATTGCTCTCTGCACTTTAATTGGACATTTAATTAGATCACAGTTTTAGTCCAATTAGACTCAGAGGTGTTGGGAAAGGGATACGGAGGGGAGAAGAGGAAAAAGTCCCCAAGCTGGTCTCTGTCTCTCTCTCCCCCCCCCTCGCTCTCTCCCCATCCTCTTCTCACTCTTTTTCTTCGTCTGTCTTTTTCCGTCCGCCTTGCTGTCTCTTCCCTCGCCTCCCTCCTGAGGGCGGCTCATTAGCGATATAATGGGATGACACAAAACACACAGCTCCCCTAACTCTCTGAGTATCTCAAGCAGTGCCTGAAACACACACGCAAGGTGACAGAGACTGTATCAGTCCACTGTTGCCATTTTTCAGGGTGTTACTTTCTAAAAACTCCTCCTCCTGTTTGGTACTAAAGCTACGAAGGGGTACGCAAGTGTGTTTTGAGACCGAGCATGGGTGTTATTAGTGCCTCTGATTAATCTCCAGCAGCGCCTGACAGTCTGCCGGTCACAGTAGCATCGACTGGCCCACACACACACACACACACACACACACACATTAACAACGTGCTGGGCAGAACCCTATCGACTCAGTGGAGTGCTCCAGTATGATATCACTACACCTAATGAGAATAAGATAAGCCTCATTACCAGCAGCGCTTGCTTACATGCCAGTCAAATGCAGGGCTATTCTGCACCAGTTTTAGCTCCCCCATGGTTCCGCCCTCTTCCACCTTTTGTTGTCATAGTCCTCACACGGAGCTTAGACTCAGAGCATAAACAACACTGGGCCCCAGTGGGCGAAGACACATGGGCAAATGTAAACACACACAAACACACACCCATATGTATGCGCATATGCACACACTTGCGCTCAGGTGTAAGTCCTCGGAGGACACAAGTCAATCTCTGTGTCCCTCGAGCAGTCACACACACCACCCTCCCTTTCTGACTCCCTCCTACCCTCCACCCTCAGGAGAAAGATAGAGAACCAGCCTCCTCTGTGTCCCATACTCTATACACACACACACACACACACACACACACTTATATGTGCTACACTTCATATCTGCACCAGTGATGTGTCTCTCCATATGCATATATATGTGTGCACATGTATAGATGGTGTGTGCGAACGACAGGCAGGGGTGTTTTAGCCACAGGCGTCACTACCTGACCCCCGTGGCTGTGAGATTGACAGCTGTGGTCCCGCCTAATTGCATTACTCTCCCAGGTGATTGGCTCACACCCTGGGGGCTCATTTGTCAGGATTCATTGTGGTAATGATGTAAATTAGCAGATCTGTGTGTCACTCAGCCTTCTCCCCTTCTGCTGATTGGCCCCGCTGTGCCCCAGGGCTCGGCCCCCAGCTGAGGGAGCCAGCTCATTGGTCCTTGGGGAACCAGGAAGTCCCCCAGAAATAGGGCTTTACAGATTGGGCATCCCTGTGGGTTGATATTATCCTTCCTCCCACCTCTTTACCTGTCAGTCAAAACCCAGGGACTGATCCCCGCAGCCTCTATCTCCTATTTGAGACGTAGATACACGCGCGCACTCACAGACACACACAGTGAAACATGTAGGTGGTACAAGCACCTGTAATAGCCTCATGTTGGCAAAGAGCCTAAACACACTTTACCAGTATAAACTGTATAAAGTTACACAAAAAGTGTGTGTGTGTGTTTAAGTGTGTGCACCTGTCTAGAATTGAAATAAAGGCCACAGGCTCAGGCTCTGTTCCCCACTGCTTACCCAGCATGCCCTAGCCATGTCCTGTATCAAAAGCAGACGCCTTCACAGTGACAGACAGCTAGAGAAACATATAGACAAACACACTGTACACAAACATGCACACACACACTTTGACTCCCTGGTTTCTTTGCCTGTCTGTCTCAATAGTATCAATTGAAGTTTTAGTTACACTATGCGTCCAGTGTGTGTGTGTGTGTGTGTGTGCGTGCGTGCGTGCGTGTGAGGAGGCAGCAGTGTGTATGTGCGCAGCACTCCTGTAGTGTCGCTGAAAGGTTTTGTGGGAGTGTGTGGATTCTTTGTTAAACTCACTTCAGTTATATGAGGCCAAATATGAATAAAGACTAAATAATGTCAGCATCAGCATGAATCAATACTTATACAGATGCACAATCACTTGGTCTGGACCTCAGCCCATGATCAATAGTTTACTCTGAGTTATTGTCTTCATATTAACAAGTGGTGTGCTCCCCCAGAGGAACACGTATGAATGGCTAAATGAAACCACTCCAAACCTCTCAACAGGACCTGGTGTTGTTTTTACACCCTCCTTTGTTTGATTTCAGACACGGCACCGCAAAAGCCTTTTTAGCCAAATTTGGATGCACTGTAGGTGTTTCCAAAACACTCAGATCCTCATGAAACTCTAATTGCCTGCTCTTGGCGATATGAATGTCCCTCACATAGATTCAAATATCGACTTGTGTCCCTCTTGTCAGTGTTTGGCCAAATTATGATTTTTTCCCCTGCATCTAAGATTATTCATAAATCAATTCATATTTTTATTGTGGCAGCTGGGGCCTTTTATATTGACTCCTAAAAAGCAGAAAAAGATCACAGTAAGTCAACAAAAGTAAAGCAAAAGTTTGGAATAAGCTCTTGATTGAAGGACAGTGAATATCAGATCTCATTTAATCGTCTGTGGGGGAGGATTTTAACATCAAAATGATGATTCTACTCTGAAAGTGCGTCTATGGCATCTCTGCTATTTCTGCACATGTTAGATATTAGTATTTGCAGACTGTGTGTGTGTATGTGCGCATGCACGTGCATTACTGACTGAGTAATCATTGTAAATTAGAGATGTTTAGAGATGTTTGTGGTTGATTTTGGTAAAGCTCCTGTAAAAACTCTCTCTCACGGAAAATCACTTCCCATGACGTGGCACATGTGCCAAACACACACACACCGACGCTCACACACACCTTTAAGTGCCGCAACTAACATCTCTCCCTCCCATCCTTCTTTACGCACTCTTACCTACTTTGCAGTAAATGTATTAACTAACCTGTATTAAGTCTCCGCCACTACTTGGCAGAGCGTGAGAAAGCAGTGAGCATGATGGGTAATTGCCATGCTGCACGCAGTGTCTACAGGAGCACACTTTATGAGGTGACGGCGGGGAGGGAAAGGGGGATGAGAAGGAAGGATGGAGGACACCGTAGTATTCCCTCCTCCCTTCAGATCGTTCAGATTTCTCTCAAGAGTTTAAAAGTTTAAAAAGACTGGCTGAAGTAATCAGCCTATACTAAATCAATATTACCTATCAGTTATATAGTATAAAACCCTTTTTACACGGTAAGTTTCAGAAGTAGTGAATCAGGTCTATGTGCGAGCGTTAATAAAAATGTCTTGTAGAAATCTCAGATTGTGGCATGAGTTTGTGCCTCCAGCATTTATGTGTTTAGGGGCAATAATTGATTTCTGTGTTGTGCCCCGCAGGGCTTGTCCCACATCTCTAAACCCCCACACACACATGCACGCACGCACACACACACAGCAAGGCGTGCTGCAGTATTAATGAGACATGAATAAGACATGAAGAGAGACCCCCCTCTTACACGCTCACACAGGGTCTCCCCCTCCCCAGCTGCTTCCTGTCTGCAGATTACCCAGCTTTCACTGGGCTCTGGTTAAGTGGGGCCAGGAAGAGATTTAGCCCCCTCAGCAGGAGCAGACACACACATTCACACATACAGACGTGCACACACACACACAC